AAAAAAAAAAAAAAATGATTTCTGATTTTTGAAATGTCACCCCCAAGGAGCTTGTTCAATGTACAAACTTCTGGGACCCTTCCCTGGAGATTCTGAGTCAGTTGGTCTTGGTGGGGCCTGGAGACTATTTACAACAATCCCTCAGGTGGTTTAGTGACATAATTGGGTTTGAAAACCACTGATTTAATTTAATATCCGTGTGTTCCTTATGAGTCTAGTGAGAACTTACAAATAGGTTGGTGGGAAATCCCAGCTTAAAGCCAGATCTTCTTCTCCTTGGTATGAGGATCTGTCCACCACCCATAATGCCTTCCTTGCCAATTCCTGAGCCCTCAGGACCCTTCCTGAGGGCTGGCCCGAGTGTGCTGCCTTCTTCATCAAGGCCTGCCAGCATCCCCAGGGAGACCTCAGCCTTCCCTCTGACAGCACTCTCCAGCCCACAGCTGCTTCTGGGCCCCCCAGTGTCCTCAAATGATGGAGGTGAGAGTTCTATCTTGCCTTATTCCTAGAGACCTGAGGACCCAGGAGGTTAACCTGGCAGTGTATGGCTTTCATTAGTGGAATTTGGGGGAAACTGAGGCATGCAGAGATGAGACTGACCCAGGCCCCATCATAGAATTGTAATCTCCCTTCCTTGGCTGATGAGCTATTTTGAGATGGCTTAGTAAGAAGATTGAAGGTCTACTTTGGTAGAAGAAAGGCTTGTGGAAGCACTCAGAGCAGGGGTCCTCAAACTTTGTAAACAGGGGGCCAGTTCACTGTTGACTGTTGGAGGGCTGGACTATGGGCCTTGGGACGTGTCGGCTGCTAAGCAGGACAGGCAGCGGTGGCAAAAACACCTGGTGGGCTGGATAAATGTCCTTGGCGGTCCACATGTGGCCCACAGGCTGTAGTTTGAGGACCCCTGACTCAGAGCATAGTGATAGTGGGGAGGATGCTGCTCTGGGGCCAGGTTGCCTGGGTTCATTCTAGTCCCTGCCATTTACTAACTATGTGGTGGCTGTTATCAGAAACAACTTTTTCCCTTATCTCATTTCAATGGATATATACCTGCTGCATACATAGGGCAATTGAGAGGACCAAAGGAGTTTAATACATATATAGCAATGCATCTCATCCGATAACATCCCTCAAAGTCACCTGGGAATCTTCTGATTCAGTCAGTGGATTTGTATTTCTAGGAAGCTTTTTAGATGGCATGGCGGCTCACAGACCACACTTAGCGAGGCAAGTTTATAGAGCACGCAGAACAGAGCCTGGCACACACACTCCGTGTTACTGTTATGATCATGTTATTGCTTCTTGGCCTTTTCAAACAAGCACCTTAAGGGATTTGGAATTCCAGCAGACAGGCCTCTCCAGGGATCAGTCTTTTCCTGGATTGTCCTTCTGTTCCGCCACATGACCTTTGCACCTGTCCTGGGCAGCAGCTGGGGAGGGGAGGAAAGGGGGGTTCCTCTGTCCAGCTGTTGCAGGCCCGAGTCTTGGAGTCTTCAGGTTTGCAGCTGAGTCCATTTTCATGCAGCTTTACTCTAACCAGATTTTGTTAAGCCGGGTGTGTTTCCTCTTTTTACTCATCTTTGTTTACAAAACATGAGGAAGCCATCAGTCTCCCCAGGCTCAGTCTGCCAGGCCTCTTCTGTGGCACGCCTGATTTCCCTTCCCCTTGTAGCAGGAGCTGCCTTCAGTGTGCTGGGTTATTTTCCAGTCCCTCTTCTGCAGGGAAAAGAGGAATGCTCTTGCTTTGGATGTGGGACTTTCTATGTACACCCAGTTGTCAGGCAGGCCATGCCTCCGTGCAAACCTCTCTTGTCTTTGTGGCTGAGGGCGGGGCAACCCAGCAACCTGTGTGATTCCCTGGGGACAGGTCAGGGAGGCCAAGCTGGGTGTAACTTGGAAGCTCTAGGAGTCCAGGAAACCTGGGCTCACTTTCCAGTTGGGCCACTGACTTACTCTATCCTCTTCTCATCTGACTAGGAGTGGTTGCCTGGTGGGGGCTGGTGCTGTGGTGAAAGACAGTTTAAGAGAGGGCTCCAGCTCCTCCAGACACCTCACATAAACTCGCTTGCTGCCTGGGCCACTGAAGTAATCCAAGTCCAGCCTGTGCTGGCCCCTCTCTGCACACTAGGTTTTTATTCCCGTGTCCACTGAGAACCCTGTGGAGAGGCCCCAGCCCAGTCCTTCTGCCCTGGCAGACAAAGAGAGAACAAAGACTGCCTCTTCCAGCACCCCATGGTCCCCCCCCCACTCTGCTGGCCCCTGGGAAATGGTACCTGTGTGGGCAGGGGACTAGCCACCAGCCTGGGAGCCACTGAGCCCTGAACTTTGCCCCTAGCTCCCCAGCCTGACAGTAGGACCTGGGATAACCTCCAGAGCGTAGTGTGTATTCTTTGTTTTTGTTTTATTTTCAAGTATGTTCTTGCTTAACATTTAATTGGCTCCAGTCAGTAGGAAAGCGCTCCAAGAGGGATTATTTATGGCTTACTGTCAAGAGCAGCTATAAAAAGGGCAGCACTGAGCTGGAGATGCTGGGAAGGGAGAGCGGGCAGGCACACGTGTGTGCGTGTGTGTGCATGTGTGCGCACGCGTGTGTGTCTGTATGTGCGTGCTCGCACTGGATGAAATCAGATTTTTGCTGCCTCAGCAGTGTGGTTTAAATTGAAGATTAACCCTTTGACCTTCACAGTGTCAAATCACTTGCAGATGGAGGCCCCCCCTTTCCCCTTGTTCTCTCTGTTACTTTGCAGTGGGGGGAGGAAGGGGGGCACTTCTTCTCTTTCTCTCTGAAGCAAGTTTGTTGTTCATGCAGCTGAGGTTGGAGGGGCTCGGGAGCCAATCTGATTAAAAGCAGCACTTGGCTAAACTCTGGAAAATCCTGCAAGCAGGGGAAAAATTTAATCCTCTTGTGCATAGTGCACACAGAGCCTGGTCTTTTCTTTTTAATGTTAAAACTGCAATTGTTTGTGGAGAATTCAACTATCTCCTCCACAGGCTACTTCTGTTTTGCCTCCCCCTTCTCTCCCCAGTTTGCTGGACTGATAGGATTAAAGAACCTTGAGATATGTAGATCAGAACTTTTTCTGGAAATGATAAGGAGTCCTTAAGGCTGTGTTTAGGAGTTATTTATTTATCTTTTCCTTCCAGCACCAGCAGAACCAAAATCGTGTGTGGTGGCAGGTCCTCTTTTTCCTACACAACCTGGCTTTGAACGGAGAAGAGAACAGGAATGGGGCAGGTCCCAGGTGAGGCTGGGCTGCCTTCTTCGCATGGGACACCAGGACCGCCATCTGGAACAGGAAGGAACGTGGGGCAGGACTGACACTATGTCTTATGGAGTTGTTTTCTGTTGTATTTTAAAAATTTCTTTTTGTGTGTATATATGACGTACCCAAGCGGGACTTCCTTTCTCTGTTTGGGGCCTCAACCAGGAGCGGGGCCTTTGTCAAACACTGTTGAAGGAGAGGCTAATGATGTGTCTGTGATGGCGGGAGCTCCCAAGGCCTCTGACAAGTAAATTCTTCAGTCTCCAGCCGTCAAAGATGACCAGTTAGCAGTGCTCTCCAGGGAGTAGACTCTAGTTTTCCCACAGGAACTCAGTTAAAAAATAGACTGGATTGGTCTCCTAGTTACGTCAAACCTGTCAGCCTTCCACTGTGGATGGAGCCATGGTCCTGATGGTCACATTGCATTAAGCCAGCAGGGCCTCGGTCACAGCCTTTCCAGCTAAGGATGGCAGCTTTACCAGGCTGACCAGCCAGGTCCTTATCTGGCTGGGTTCTCACTTGGCCCAGCCAGTCCTGTCCCATGGGCTCAGGGATTCCTGCCCAGCCCCTGTCACCTCCAGCAGACCTCAGGGAGGGTTGGGTTTCTCCAGGGACCCCTCAAATATGCCGCAAAATGAACCAAAGTTCTGGATAGGCCTCACATCTGACTTGGAGGCCCCGAGATTGGTTCACAGTGTAGAACCACCACCGCCTCTGGCTTCCTGGGACTGGCTAGGGGCCCACCGTGAGTGAGCCAAGTAGCCAGTCAATGTGCTGTAGCCAGCAGCTTGTGCCTTTGTCAGCTCTTCTTTCGAAAGACCCAACCAACAGCCTGCATTCCACCCTCAGCATCAGCACTGTGGGACATAAAGGGGCAGGTTTGCTGTGGGGCTGGGAGATGTGGTGGTCACCCCACCAGTAAGAGGCAGCCCCAGAGAACCCCAGCCAGACCCCTCAGTTTCCTTGGAAACAACATACCTCCTCCCCCACATCCCCATTCCTTTTTGACACCTAGTGGGATACAGGAAGAAGCCAGGACAGTGGCTTTGCCAGCTAAAAGTGACTTTTAGAGTAAAAGGTAATGATTAGACAATGGAACCATGAAACCTGGGTGCATATTTCCGGTCTTCCTTCAGCTTCCCGCTGGGCCAGAAGGGCATGCTCTGGAACCCGGCAGGACCACAGCTGCCTCTGAACTTGTTCCCTTCTCTCCCTGCTGCGGCTCTCAAGGACAGAACTTAAAGCAGCCAGTATGGCAGCTCTGATATCAGACAAAGGAATCTGTTAACCAGACACCTAGAAATTAACTTATAACTCTTGCATATGTGAGAAAAGTCAACATTGGTGCTAACGGTGACGCAAGGCCCAACGAAAAGGTGGCTTCTCTGGGCAGAGAAGACTGTGTGGCTACCCAAGGAAATTGGAGAAGTCCAGAGTGGACTCTCATCTGAATAAGCCCAAACTCATCCAGTTCTGCAGAGAGGAGGGCTTCGGGGCTATTCTGGACATGCTGTTGGACAGGTTGTTCACTGCACAAGGGCATCTGCAGAGGGAGCTAATGGAGGCTGAAATCTAGCCCTTGCTCTGCTCACTAAGGTATGCCCTGATGTGGGGTTGCTTCTGCCCAGAGGAAGAGGGGTGCCTTTCCTAATTTGCACAAAGGTGCTCTGTGGGCTTACAGCAGCCCTGAAGAGAAGGACCTTAAACTCTTGTGCATAAGCCTTTGTTTTGTTCTGCTCAGATGTTCTGGAGATATTACCTCTTCTTGGTCAGAGTTCTATTCTCAGGGTGTGTACCATGGTCTGCCTGCTAAAAGATGGGTTCCTGCTTACAAGGAGAAGGAGCATGTCCCTACCAGGCAAGAAGTCTGGCTCCGGGATACACTGACCATTGTGAAATCCAGCCTTCCCTGTGTGTCTCCCTATCATTTTATGATGTGTATTGGACATATGCTGTTTTCCCCTCTCCTGAATTGAGGCCGTAATAGGCAGGCTGCTGGTGTATGCTTTAGTGGCATACCCCCCCCCAACCAGGTTTGTTATACCAGACACTTTTAACCCCATGGTAGACTTTCCACCTAAGCTGAGTGACAGAGTAAATGGTCTAGTCCTTGGCAAAGCTATCAGCCTCAGAGGCCCATCCTTGCCAGGTCCAGGCTGGATGAGGCTGTCTTGAGAATTGAGTCCAGAGGGTGAGAAGCCCACCTGAACATCAAGCCTAGGGCTAGGTGGAAGGTGGTCTGACTGCTCTGTCTCTATCTTTTGCAAAGCTAGGAACTCGTTATCTGGGGTTAAGGTCCCTATAGTCCTCTTCCTTACCCTCAAAACACCTAGGAGGTAACAGGCAAAGTAGTCCTAAGAAGGAGAGAAGTTCCTCCAGCCTGGTTGTCTTTAATTGGCCTAGTGATCCAGACTGGCCCCTTCCCTTCTGCCTGGTGAGTTGGCCTAAGCATTCCTCAAGTCCAGCCTCAGGAGATCTGCCCCTCCCCCTGGACTCCTCAGACTCCCATCCCCCACCCTCAGGAGCCTGCCTGTCTCTAGTGAAGGGTGGACAATCAGATTTAGAGGAGGGAGAGTCTGACCTGTGTCCTGACCTGTAACCAGCTGAAGATGCTGGGAGTTTTGTGGCTTGGTAAGGGTGGGGGTTGGGAGAGAGACTGGAAACCTCCTTCCTCTAAAAATGCCCCAGAGGAAGGGAAGCCTGATATTCAGGGTCAAAACAGCCTTTCTAATTCAGAACTTTAGAGTAGCAGTTTCTAGAAGTTAGTAGACAGATCTGGGGAGGGAACTCCCCCAGGCAGACATCTGACTCCCTTAGTGAGGTTGGAAGACTCAGCTGGCCCCTCTGCCTTGGCCTGATTCAAAGTCTGGGCCACTGAAGAGCTGCCCCTGGGACCTTCTCTTGCTCAATCTGAGGCAGAAAAAGATCACCTCCCAGTGACCTCCCCTCAGCTCCCAGGGGAGTGGGTCTGTGTCCAAAGCTAGGTGGCAAACTTGTCTCAAGGGCCAGAGGGGCCCAGCTGACCTGTCTCCCTGCCAGGGGTGTCCTAGTCCCATCCACAGGCAGCTCCCACCTGCACATGGCAGGTAGGAGGGGGGACAGTGGTTTGGGACAGGCCACCCTCAGCCTGAACCCTTCAGGGAAGAGTTCTGTGAAGCCACTGTGACTGTCATGGTCAGCAAGGAACACACTACCCCAATGAGCACTAGTCTTCCTTTGGGGGGACATGATGGGAGAGGGGAAAGTAGCAGGACTTCAGTGCCCATGACTGCGGGGATTCCGCAAGTCAGTGCTAGCCCAGGCTGGAGGAAGTTGCAGGGCCCCTCCTTGTGGGGGTGAGGACCCTTGGAAGCAGGCTATCTGGCCAGATGCTCTCACAGGAAGGGGTTAGCCTACCACCCTTAGGCAGCTATAGGGTTGGTGGGAACTTTGAGCCTTAAGGGAATAGCAGGCAAAGCTGAGCTCTTCACTTGTGTGCTGGCCTCTCCACCTCCCACAGAGCTAAAGGTGCTCAGAGCCCCACATGGGCTCCTGGGCCTGTACTGTCTCTGTGCAGGTGGCCCGCAGCTCTCCCCACTCTAGGAGCATTGCCCAGCCTTCTCCCCTGTCCCTGGATCCACAGGGGCTGTCAGGGGGAGACCCAGTGAGAATGTAGCATTTCATTCATCCCCAGGTGAGCTGCCCTGGGGTCTGGGCACTCTGCCTCTGGGAGAGAGAGAAGAATGGGGACCCCTTTTCTTTTAACCTGTACAGAGTCTTTGGCTTTATGTTTATGTTCTTCACCTGCATATATGTGCGTGTACATATCTTTCCCCCATCAGTTGGTACAATTTTTAATAAAACCATTTAAAGCAAAGCTGATCTTTTCTTTTTCAAGGTATAATGAAAAATGCAAGGGGATCAGTTAGGAAATTAGAGACTTGATTTGTGGCTTGGCC